ATCTGCTATGTTTTTCTTAATCCGCGGTGTGTGCTTTTACAAGTTGTATTTTATGTGATTTGGTATGGTTTCATTTTTGGTTTTGGTTTTAGCTATTGTCTTACTTTGTAGCTGAGGCTGGACCCAATCTCCAATGCTTCTGCCTCTGCCTTCTGAGTGCTTGCATTATGTGTTCGCCGCCATGCTCGTCTGGGCTGGTCTCTGAAAGTGTGTTTGTCTTACTGTCTTCTCAGACTACACCGACCTGGCCATGAGCACTGTGAAGCAGACCCAAGCCATCCCATACACCGGGCCCTTCAGTCTGCTGTGCCACCAGCTGCAGAGGTTGACAGGTGCGTCCGCTGAGGTCACCGTCACTGCCTTCCTCAGTCAGACATTTCTGTATCTAAGGAACAATGCACTTCATTTAGTAGTTGTCTCAGAATTCCTTGTGTGTACTACATGGTCATTTTATCACATAAAAGTGGAAATTTAAAAATATACTCATTGGGGCTGGAGAGATGGCCTAGTGGTTAAGAGCACTTGCTCTTCCAGAGGAACCAGGTTCAATTCCCAGCACCCACAAGGCAGCTCACAACTGTCTGTAACTACAGTTCCAGGGGACCGACGCCCTCACACAGGCAAAACAACAATGTACATAAATAAATAAATTTAAAAAAAAAAAGAAACAAGGCTGGAAAAAAAATATACTCAAAATTTTTTAAAATCCCTCAGTAGGGGCTGGAGAGATGGCTCAGTGGTTAAGAACACTGGCTGCTCTTCTAGAGGTCCTGAGTTCAATCCCCGGCAACCACATGGTGGCTCACAAGCATCTGTAATGGGATCTGGCGCCCTCTTCTGGTGCGCAGTCAGAACACTGTGTACACAATGGAGAAATTAAGAACAAAAACCCCACAGTGTCTTCATCACTCCCCGGCCTAAGATGTCAGTGGTCCTTCCTCCTCTATAAAGTCCGTCCTCGTTAACTGGTTAGGGTTTTATGTATCGCTTCCTTGGTCTGCCGGCCCAGGTCTGGAGCTGGCCGGTGAGACCTCGGTGGGAGCCTAAGCCTGTGTCTCCGTTCTCACCACTGGAAAGGAGAGGCTTCTGTCTGTACAATGTAAGGCGACACCTGACGGGTGTGGCCTCTCTGAGGAGGCGGGAGCGACCCAGGCTGGGACGCGATTGCTGCTCCTGAGCCCCTCACAGCCCCTGAAGTAAAGTGCTCAAGACGTTGGGGGGAGGATTCTCGCCTACCTTAGACTGACCTCATCCAAGAATTATGGCCAAAGAGAAGTCATGAATTAATGACAATTAATTAACTGGTCCTTGAGAAGATTCACTTAAGAACTAGTAAACCTTTAATCCCAGCACTCGGGAGGCAGAGGCAGGCGGATCTCTGTGAGTTCAAGACCAGCCTGGTCTACAGAGTGAATTTCAGTAAAGGCTGCAAAGCTACACAGAGAAACCCTGTCTTGGAAAAAAGAACTAGTGAGCTTTCAGCAACTGGACTTCCGGGTGTGATGATTGGACTCAAGGTAGAGGTGGGGAGCTGGCCCGTGGCTCACACTGAAGCTGAGGTGCTGTGTAGACCCATCTCTCTAGCCGATGGCCCAAGTGTTGGTGCCTGAGGTGCGTGTGTAGGATTAGGTACTGCGTTGTCCGCAGTTGCTATGAGAGTTAGCATAAAACAGCTGTTCAGTGTTACTAGTTTTCCCGCTTACAGCAGCTCTGTTTTAACTGTCTCTACAAAGACGAATGCCTCTTAAAGTCTGTAAGAAAATCCTATGAATCATGTCATTTTTTTTTTCAGGTGATGTAGAAGAATTAGAAATTCAAGAAAAACCTGCTCTGAAGGTGTTCAAAAACATCACCGTCATCCAGGAGCCCGGCATGGTGGTTCTAGAGGTGAGTCCGGTCATCACCTCTGGGGGAGTGAGGTCTCCGACCAGCGTGGGTGTGATGGCTGAGAAGTGTGGTTACTGGTTCTCCAGGTTGCTGTCGGTTTGAAGAGTTCAGAGGCCCAGGCCTAGACAAAACTACAGGCACCCAGGGCTTTCTCAGAGCTGGAGAAGTAGTCCTCCCCGGGGAAAGTCCCCTGATTGGCTTTCCAGGACCAAGTGGTCAGACGCGAAGTCAGTGCACACAGATAACGTTGTACGTGCTGAGCAGGCTCTATTTATTTGTCTAGGGAGAGAGAAATAGCAGCAGTTAAAGTCAGAGAGGCCGTGAGTTTGGGGGGCAGTAGGTGGAGTGGGGTTAAGATGGAGAGGGAGGCCGGAGGGAAGGAAGGGAGAGGGTAAAATGAGGTACTTACATTTTAACTTAAAAAGTCTGAAAAGGTTTGGAGTCCGAGTGAATCCAGCACTAGCAGTTACGTTGCATGTGTTATTTGGGGGTTAGTTTTCTTTTTTAATAAAATAATTGGGAAATTAACTGTCAACGCACGGAAAACCTTTGGCACAACGGGGCTGCTTAGTAGATTCCCTTTTGCTGAGTAGGAGGTCAGTGGGTGTCACGTGACTAGGAGACAGTGGGTTCCCAGCAAAGCTGGGGCAGCGGCTCCCCGCAGCCTGGTGTCCTCGGGCAGCGCTGGGCAGTGGTGTGGCTGCCCTTCCACCTTCCTGACCCCAGCTTTCTTTGTAGTGGCTGGCGAACCCCTCTAACGACATGTATGCAGACACAGTGACCACCGTGATCCTGGAAGTTCAGTCGAATCCCAAAATCAGGAAAGGTACGGGCTTGCCCCATGCTTACTCATTTCATCTGTCCCAGATTCTTAGAGCCAAAGTCAGTGGAGTCCTGAGTAGATGTTAAGTTATCCTGGTTTCTAGTGTTTAGTAATTTTAAGGTGTGGACACGATAGTGCGGATCTCCAGTGCCTTATTTTTCATTCTGGCTCATCCTTCACACAGTAGGAGTCTGATCACGGTCTCACAAAGGTAGACTCCGTTTAGTTACAGTTCTCCTCTAAAACACTGAACAGAGACACTAAAGTACTGCTCATCAGAGCCTGCGTGTCTGTCAGGAGAGAGCTGTCCTCAGGCTCAAGGGGGTGCTAAACAGAAGGGTGACTCCAGCCAGCCAGCACGTGTGCCGGGGCTGGAGCTTGCCTCTGTGGTCTCCAGATGAGATGCCCCCCACACTGGACCCTTCTTCCCATGATGCCAGAGCCTGTCCAGTATAGACTGTTCCTCCCTGGCCTGGCAGTGGTGCACACCTGTCTCATGGATTCAAAAACAAAAACATTGAGAAGGAGCTGGGTGTGGGTTCCCACTCCTATAATCTTGGCACTTGGGAGTGAGAGGCAAAGGGTCGCAGCAAGTGTGAGCCAGCCTGGGCTACACAGTGAGCACCAGGGCTTCATAGTGAAGTACGTCCTCAGGGGAAGAGTCTGTGTGTGTGCACACTTCACAGTCCTGAGTAGGGCGGGTCACTTGGGAACTCCGCCTACCTTTTGGAGAAGCAGTCCATGAACGGGTGCTTTGTTGTGTGGCTGTGCAGGCCAGGGAGGTGTGTGAACGGGTGTGCCATGGTGACCTTAACTCCAGATTAAAGATCGTCATCTTGACCATCAGTCGTGTGTTTATTGAGGTCTTTAAAAACAAAGTAGTAATTATTCATTATTATCTTTTTATCTTATTTTATTTGGCTTTTAAGACAGGGTTTCTTTGCATAGCCCTGGCTGTCTGGAACTCACTCTGTAGACCTGGCTGGCCTCAAACTCACAGAGACCCACCTGTCATCACTGCCCTGCCTGGCAAATATTATTTATTTTAAGATTTACTTTTAGTTGTGTGTGTGTGCACATGAGTTTAAGGTGCTGTAGAGACCAGAGTGGTCAGATTCCCTGGAGCTGGAGTTACAGGTTGTGGGCTGCCCCCAAGTGGGTGCTGGGAACTGACCACGTGTCCTCTGCAAGAGCAAGAAGTTCTCTTAACCACTGAGCCATCTCTCCAGCCTCTTAAGTATTGATTTTTATGAAAACACTCATAATCGGATGCTATATCAGAGGATGTTAAATGTGTGTAACGTTTAGATACAAAAGAGCTTCATGTGTCCTCTGGAATTACTGGACCTAAAATTTCAGGTCCTCTCCTTAGAGTGGAAGTTGGAGAAATATGGGAAGTAAAAGTGAACTGAAATGTCACTGTGGGTCCTTGATAACAACTGGGATGACACAGTGCACGTGAGTTGCCGTTGTGGGCAGGTGACACACCCCCTGCTGTGCCCTGGAGGTCTCTGTGGTGGTCACTTCACATCTCCACAGCGTGCTCTGCTGACCTGTGGATGACTGTGGTGGGAAGATGGAGACTGAGCTGTTTGTCCTCCAGGTGCGGTCCAGAAGGTCTCTAAGAAGTTAGAGATGCACGTTTACAGCAAGAGGCTGGAGGTCATGCTCCAGTAAGTCTCGGGAGCCGGGTGCGTGGGTGTGTGGGTGCGCGGGTATGCGGGTGGGGGTGCGTGGGTGGGGGTGCGCGGGTGCGCGGGAGGAGGTGCTGAACTCATGGTGTATCCCTGGGCTGCAGATGCACCAAGTTACAGCCAAGTTCACACTGTGGTTGGTGCCGGATGCCAGTGTCTGCCTGGTCGGCACCATGCTTACGGAGCTTGCACATTTGTTGGGACTGGGTGCTGATGTCAGCTGAACGTCCCTGTGCCTTTAAGAATTATTTTAGCATGGCGGTGGTGACACACGCCTGTAATCCCAGCACTTGGGAGGCAGAGACAGGCAGATCTCTGAGTTTGAGGCCAGCCTGGTCTAGAGTGAGTTCTAGGACAGCCAAGGCCATGCAGAGAAACCCTGTCTTGAAAAACAAAACAAAAAAGAATTATTTTAAATGTTTGCTTGGATGTGAATTATTTGATAAAGTGGGTATTGTAGGCTCTTTCCAGTAGGTCTGTAACTGAAATGTCTCTAGACTTAGTATGTTTCTAATGCTGGTGGCTTTCTGTACGTGGTCTTTGAGCTGATTTCAGGATGCTTTTTCCTAGCGATTAGCAAACCCCAACAGTGGATAGTTGGTTTATAATTTCAGCACCTAGCATCGTGCCTAAAGTGCTCATCTCTCGTTTGCTTGTTGAGTGAATAACTTAGCTTTTCATTATTGGCAAAGCCTGCAGGGCAAAGGGAAGAAAGATACATTTCGGCCCATGGTTTCAGAGCACTCGCCACGGCCAGCTAGCCTTGGCTTTGACCTGATGTGGAGTAGAACATCGTGGTGGTGGGAGTGTGTATGTTCTATGTATTCTATCCTTTGGAGTCACAGGCTGTACCCTTCAGAGTCACAGGCTGTACCCTTCGGAGTCACAGGCTGTACCCTTC